CAGAACTGAGTGAACGTCAGTTTCTGGGAGAGAGAGTGATCAAAAGTCGAAACAAGGCCAGCACTTTTCGCCGAGCCAAAATCGAACATTTATGGGAGGGAGGTAGTGGTAAGGATTAGTGACACACGATGTTTGTCAAAATTCATATATAAATAAAATGGATCTGTAAAAGGACAATATGAATAACCTCAAAAGGAAAACCTTTCTTAACCGACGTGTTACGTCTTCTGATGGACTTTATCAAGGTAAACTCCATCAGAGGATGTAACGCGATTCTAAATAAGATTTTTCTGTTGTCTTTATATATATATATATATATATATATATATATAGGAATGGATATTTCATTATTAATCCGAAATATTTTAATGGACTTTTTAATGAATATCCATATTTAAGTAGATGATCCGTTGTTATTTATTTAAACAGTATTATGAGACAAATATGTTACATGAGTTGTCGCCCTTGGTAAACTACACTCTTTACAAATCACGTATATCGTCCACCAACCAATCACTAGCCAGAATATGTTGGCGCCAATTATAAAAAACGCTATTCTGTTCTTTTACTCTTCCTCTATTCTGCTCAGATTTGCCAGGCACAAAAATCGTCTCTGATTCTACCTGCGCTTTGATATGAGAGCCGTACTATATTAGTACGTAAACAAAATCATTCTACAAACACAAAGGACGTCAGTTAAGCGGACTTATATTGTTTCATTATAATATAGACACAAACAGAACAATTTGTTTGCAACAAGAACTATTATTTCTATAGTATTTGTATATATGAACTTCAATAATATTCCTATTAACTTTCAATTTGTGTTCCGTGTTCTTCCTGTATTGATATTATTTGCGGCTTAAATCGCCATAGTATATTTATTTATTTCCATCTGGCCAGTATATTCAAGAAATCTTATCAGAAAATTAAATGCTCCCTGACAAGATTCGAACCTATATTCCCCCAGAGGTAACTGTCATTATCTGACGTGCTATGACATCTCGGCAAGCCATGCAGGAATAGTGCTTTTGAACACTGACATTTCCCGATTCTCAAAATATCACGATCGCTAATCCCACATGTATTGCAGCCGCAGTAGAAGTGATGTTTCTTGAGCAATCCTCTCCAGATTGGTTTTGAATTCAGTTACCTTCTCCACGGCTATAGAACCAAGTCTGTCCTGATATTCACCCATAGCTGGAGGAGAGAAGAAGAGGATTCATACCTTTCCCAAGGGTACTTGCACGTGAATGTAATTCCGATTGGTATTCGAACTCGGCTCTCCGATTCCTTAATCCGAGCCGCTAACCATTAAGTCACCGTGCCACCGTATTCTAGAAATATACATCTGCTCAAATATGGGTATCTATTAGAAATATCGTTTAAGCAAGATATTAAATATATAAATAATAATAATCAATAATATAATAAATAAAAAATCCATTCCTAAAAATTGTCATTGTTTACGCTTGAATAAGAAACTGAGTAGATATATATTGAAATGTTAAGATTCGAAACTGAACAGAGATGTTGTGCAGCAACGCCTGAAACGTAGAAGACCGAAGACTTGTGAAACATTTTGGTGGATTATTATATTATCATAGGAATTGAACGTTCGATTGATTTTATATTTAAA